AACACTATATAAGCACATGGGTAGTGGAGAAACCTCATCCTGTGCACGAATCCCTTCTTGAAATGCATGCTTGAAGGGGGCTATAATCATAGCGGCATCATTTGATGTGGCAGGAAGGGCCTCCTTGTCTTTAAGCACTCTCCAAATCCTGCAGCTCTGGTTCCTCTGCTTCCTAACAGAGCTGTGTATTTCAAGGATGACTGGAACAGAGTTCTTTCTATCAGGGTGGCAGGTGTGAATAAGCATGTTACCTGCAGCTGTTTTCTCTGGTCAACAGATCAGCTAGATTGCTTTCCCCAAGAGGTAAGCAGTATGGCTTCTCAGTGTCTCATGGGTCCTTTCACTACCACTCTTCCGAGTGTCCAGCTTCCACCTTGAGGTCCCGCCATGTCTTGTGACTCCATAGTGAAAATTCAAGTGCTAAACAACTGCTGCATAGTGTACGGCTGGACTGGTAGAAAATGGTTACAAACATGGTGCTGGAGGAGAGCTTTGCAAAGATCCTGGACCAATGGAAAGATGAATGAGTGGATCCTAAATCAATCAAACTGGAGCTTTCCCTAGAAGCAAAAATGATAAAACTGATGCTCTCATACTTTGGACACATCGTGAGAAGACAAGACTCTCACTGGACAAGAGATCATGCTAGGGCAGGTTGAAGGCAGAAGAAGAAAAGGAAGACAAAATAGATGGAATGATGGCATAAAGGAGGCCACAACTTTGAGTTTACAAGAGCTGAGCAGGACTGTCATGAATGGCACATTTTGGAGGGCTTTCATTCATAGGATAGCTATAATTCGGAAAGGAATGGACAACACATAACAACAATGGTTACCTGTGGATTATACAAGGTGAACTGCTGGTGATTTCCGCACCACCATGACAGCCATCCCAGAATAGTTTCCCCATTTCAGCAACCAAATGCTGTTGATTTAGACTGTGGACAGGGAAGTTCACTATACTACATTATGACTGTGACTCATTCAGCGGGGAAGGGAACTGACTCACTGAAGGCATGATCCTTTGACCACCCAATGTTGTTGTGGGAGACATAACATTATTTGGAGTCATAGGTCTGAGGTCCTGTGACCTTGGACTGGGTCTCCAAACATGGAGCCCTTTCATTCGGCATGGAGGGAACCACACCAGCTGCCTCTCCAGGGTAAGAAAGTCACCTTGGAGAGGAAGAAAAGGGCGTGCTGGGGGTGGGGGGAAAGATTGAGCCAGTGGCTTGCACTGCTTCCAAATGTCGTCTTAGCCACTCTCCCACCCACTCTGCAGCGCTTCATCCAGACTGCCAAAAGCAGCCCTCTAGATGAAATGCAGCCTCTGAGGTTCTTCTCAGTGAAGATGACTGTTACCGTTCCTTGCTCTGCATTGGAGCACCATGGGTCCTCAATTGCACCCTGAGGAGATATAAATCCTATTATTATTATTATTATTATTATTATTATTATTATTATTATTATTATAACATTTCTATGCCGCCCCTTGCCGAAACCTCGGGGCGGCTTACAACACGATAAAATACATTGAAATACAATAGCACATAATAAATTACCATTAAATACAAAAATACAAAAAATACATTGATTTACAAATATAAGATTAAAATTATCAGTATAAATTAAGTAAATAAAAATATAGGAGGAGAAAGAGAAGGAAGAAGAAGTTGCCCTGGCCAGATCATATGTTTTAACAATTAAAATGATGTTTAAATAAAAAGGTCTTTACCTGGCGCCGAAAAACCAGTAGCGACGGTGCCAGTTTTATTATAGAGTATTGCTCAGGGCAGCAGCTTCCATACCTAAAGCAACCATGTGTCTTTGTGAGCTTTGGCTCCATGCTCCAGATTGGCTGGTAGAGCAAAGCTTTTGAGATCCTGTAGTTCTCATTATATGTGCCTAGCTTCAGGGTCTTTTGGGCAATGCTCTCTACTTTAATGCTGTCATTGTATTTTAAGAGTTTGTGGAAAGAAAGCTAGGATAACTAGATTTCCCTCTAGGTCTTAACATCAGAATTCCATCTTGTTGTTTACCTGAAAGCAGATAAGGGTTCTGGGAGGCGTTGTCTGATGTAGTATTCTGTGCAGTTGTGTCTCTACACAGAAGTGTCTTTCTGTCCCTGGCATCCTCTTCTTCAGACAGCAGGACTGAGCATGGTTTGTTACTGAACTGTGGGTTGTAGTTGAAATCTGGGTTATCATGTTGTCTGAACCCAGTTAAGATAACAAACCATGGTGAACAACCCGCAGTTCATAACCCAACAAGAAACCATGGGCTCTCTTCATGAGTTGCTTGTTGTTAAAAGCTATGGCTTATTAGCACAACTGGGTTCACTCAACTCGCTTGAGTATGGGATAGCATGTTATTTGAACTAAGTCTCTGTTTAGCATCAGACAGTATTGTGTATCTAAGCAAAGCAAAAGTTCAATACTCTCTTAGACCCAAGGAATGCCAAGAGACAGACAAATAAAATAAGCAAAAATGCATTCTCTCTCTTATAAAGATTTGGCTTAAGTTAAATGTCTAGTTTAATTGTGGCCTGAATGAAAACTCCTACACTTACCTAGAGCTGTGTGATCATAGACAAGAGATTGAATCTGAGTGTTAATAAGGCAGAAATTAAAAATAAATGAGAAGTTCTAAATTGTCTTGCTGCATTCTGGAATACTTGAGAGCTTAAGCTTCACATTAAAAGTAAGCTGCTTGTCTCCTATATGAGACAGTTGTGAAGCCAGTCTGTCAAGTTAGCCCTGGTGAGGCAGGGCTATTTCTTCATGAAAGTGAGAAGTCTCCTGTCAGTGAAGCCAGCATGCCTTACAGTGGAACTGACTTTTTGCAAAATGGTTGCTATCTCCAAGCCAGCCTGTCTATCTGCACTTTGCTATACTGCCCAATAGCCTATGCTTTCTGCGTGAGTTGCAAAGCAAACTGTAAATGCCATAAAATATAAAAACACAAGACATAATATAAAATAATCTTAATTAAAAATTAATCATAATATAATCTTACTTTTCTAGACTGTTAGGCTGAAACAAAAGTAAAAACCAAAGTAGTAGTAAAAGCCAACAGAAGTGTTAAGACTAAAAAGTCTAGAAGAATAAAAAGACTATAAAGGAGCAGGTGGCAGAAGACCTTTCTAATTTATAGAAGACTCCTATAATCCTTGTGAGATTGTCCCAGGAACAAACAGTAGTTTTGGGTTCTCCCTCCTGAGGCCATATTCACCAGTCTGAATTTGGGAGGAGGAATCTGACATCAGATCCCCTTCTGTGTTGTGGCAGCTGGGATTTCCGCTGATGTCACAGAGGTCCAAGTGGGGGCATTCCACTGGCTGGGAAAGGGAGAAAGAGATGCCTGGGGCTGCAGGTTCCTAAGTCCTCCCTGCTGCTCATCCCACCCTCTACCTGCAGGTGAGCTAAGATTTTTGATTGAAGGAGAAGGCAAAAGCATCTCTATCCACCTCCTGCCCTGCTTGGCTCCACCTGTCAGAAGCACAAGGCTTCAGATTGTACTCTTAGAGATAAAGGCACAAGGTGGGCTGGTTGATGACTCCAGTGTACCTTGCACCAGGCAGCTTAAGAGTCATTTTGAGACCAAAGCAGAGAAGAACAAGACCATCAACAATACTTTCTTGAACACTGTCTCAATTATAGATGTCACTCATTCATAGTCCCATAAAGGGAGTTTGGGTTTATGCTTCAGTACAAAGCAATCCCAATTTGCATGTGTTGGTCTCTATTTTAAGATTTTGCAGAATGATATCTCACTGCAGACAGAGCAAGGTGCCTTGCTTGTTATATATTTTTATTCTTTAATATTTCTGTTCATTTGTTTTGTTAGGTTGTAGGAGTTTTCTGTATACACAGTTTCTGGAAACAGGCAGGAGGGCTAATATCTGTTGAGGAACTGTTCTATTAATATTATCATATTATTTTCATTATTATTTTCTCTCATATGTCAGTTTAATCATGGAAATCCATGCTCACAAACTGTTTCGATTAGTGGAAAGCTGTGAACTAAATTTGCAGTTCTTAACTTGCATAATACAAAAAATGTTTAAATATACTTAGTAGAAGTGGGCATAAAAGGCCATGTCTTTCTTGATTTCCATCTAATAAACATTTCTGTTGAGTTACCTTTGAATAAATGTAATGTTTAAATTGGTGCTTTAGCAATGCATTGAAAGTTGTACCACTGACAGTGCTTAATTAAGGCTGTGTGGGTAGAACATTAGTTATCTTGCTGGTTGCCAGTCATAGAGTGGCCTGTAACTTTGGATGCAAGATGTAGTTTTAGCTTTAACTGAATAAGCAGCAGTGAGATTCTAATTTATGTTCTTGCCTCTCGGACACTGCCAGAGGAAGAGATTGACAGCATCTGCTTCTGCCTTTAAATTAATCAGAGTTCTCAGATATATCCAAACTTGGAATTTTGGGTAGTTTAAACTGTGGTTACTTCAAAACAAGGCAGGATGAAACCATGGTTTATGAATCTGTATTTTTTAAAAATATACCCATGCTCCCAAACTCAGTGCTTTCTAAGAGTTTGGGACTTCAGCTCCTAGAATTCCAGATGATGAGCCATGTTGTCTTGAACCAATAGGCACTGAAGTCTAAAACATCTGGCGAATACCAGTTTGGAGAAGCCCAGATTAACTAGAATTCTCCAAGTCTACACTGACAGAGCTACCCATTTAATTGTAATTCTGATGTCCCATCCATCATAGTGGTGTGTCATATATTTTAAAGCAGGATATTAAGGGGCCCTGTAAACTGAGAAACCGGGCATGCTGCAGTCTTGCAATCCAGTCCTAAATAAGGTTCACTGAGTTCCATAGAACTTAGTCCCGGATAGATGTGCTCATAAGATTACAAACTTGGTCTTAGTGTTCTTAATTTATTGTCTACCAAGCTGAAAAGATATTAAGTACTCTGGAGACATTTTTCATGCAACATAACATATTTGTCCAATAAAGGACTTTGTTTTATTTTGCAGTTTTCTGAAGAATGCAGAACAAAAGCATATCCTCCATCGGGACCAACGTAAGTAACTTAATAAATGACAAGTCAGGAACTGATAATGAAAGGTGTGCAAAAGCAGGATTTTAAATCTAGTTAAATATGAACTGATTTATGTTGAGTCAGGATCATGACACTGCTGCAGACAAGGTGAATGTCATCTACCATTTCATTGTCAGAAACCTATAATCTTATGGGAATTGGCAGTATTTATCACTGGTTAAACTTCAGCTGTACTAGTGTGTCTAAGTTAATTGTTTAAACAAACTATATTACAATCTTGGAAATCAGAAACAATGAGGATAACAGATTATAAAGAGGACCCTTGGAAAGGTTTAGGAAAGATGTATTTAGCCTCTAAAAATAGAATGCCTTAGCATGAAACATATGCATGTTTAGCCAGAAATAAGTTTTTCTGCTCTTAGCATCCCCCAGCAAGCATGAACAATTGGAGGTTACAGGGGCTTGTAAGACTGGCTTCTGCCTAAACATGCACTCTTAATAATCTTCAGAAAATAGTAAAAAGAGTCTCTAAATAGGGTGCAGAATAGGGTGTTTGTCCCACACTGTAAACAATGGAATACTATTACTAGGTTTAAGTAATAGTACTATTACTAGGTTTAATTAATTTCAGAGAAATATTGATGGTTGAAACCAGAAGATGGAGCTATAAGAATAGAAAGAAATCCAGTTCCCTTAAAAATTGATTAAAAAAATTGACGATCTAAACACCCCAATTTTGAGATTTGTATGGCAAAAGAAGAAACCAAGGATTAAATTAAAAATGCTTCAGGAGGCCAAAGGGAATGGGGCTTTGGCCTTCCTGACTGGATGTTGTATTATCAAGCGTCTGTCTTAATGTGGCTAAAAGAATGGATAACCTTAAGAGAATCCTTTATCTTGAAGGACATGATTTACAAATGGGTTGGCACACTTATATTTGGTATGAAAAGTATAAGACACATAGTTGTTTCTTAAATCATTCCACTAGAAAATCATTAATGTCGGTATGGGAAAAATTAAGGAAAAAGCTGTATACTAAGTTGCCAAGATGGCTTTTGCCTATGGAAGCTCTTGTATATCAAATGCATTGAATTTTGATATGATTGTGAGATATGATGATATTTTGGATAATGATGGAGGATTGAAACTGAACCAAGAATTAAAAGAGCAGGGTATTGATACCTCTTGGTGGCATAAGGTTCAAATGCAATCAAGATATGTTAAAGGTTATAAAATGTGGGAGTTTTTTTATAAGGAATTAACAACATTTGACCAAATGATCTTAAAATTAGATGAAAAATGATTAAAAGACTGTATAATTTTCTTTTGAATATGAGCATGGAAGATGAACAAGTTAAGGAAACTATGATAACATGGACACAAAATTTTGGATATAATATTGAGTTACAGAAATGGCAAAAGTTGTGGGAAAGAAATACCAAGGTAACCTCAGCAACCTCATATAAAGCAAATCTTTATAAAATGTTTTATAGATGGTACTTATCTCCAAATAGACTAGCAAAAATGTTTCCAAATAGGTCAAATGGATGTTGGAAATACAAACATAAACCTGGTACTTTTTATCATATGTGGAGGACTTGTGATAAGGCAAAAAAATATTGGGCTAAAATATATAAAGTGACTTGAGGAAATGTTACAAAAATCTTTAATATTTAAACCTGAAGTCTTTTTATTAGGCATTGTGTCTGATGATGTTGGCAAACAAGCAACGTATTTGATTCTACATGTAATTACTGCGGCAAGGATTGTATTTGCCCAACATTGGAGGAGTGAAGAACCACCCACTGATAAACTGATTTTAAAAAAGATTCTGGACTGTGCTGAATGGACAGGCTGACTTTGTCTCTGAAGGAGAAAGAGGATACATACTTCTATCAAACTTGGAACTCCTTTTATTATTGGCTAGAGAAACGGGACTATGTGTTGATTCCGAATATGTCTATGGATTGCTATAAAAAAAAATGGGGGACTGACCCAGCAGGTCTGATGTCTTTGATGATTGATGTTTTTAGTTTCTTCTTTTTAGTTTGTAGAAAATAATAAAACTTGTTTTAAAAAAAGAATAGAAATCGATTAGAAAAATTAAATGGAGCAGTTACAAGGTGATGGTTTATAGGTAATAATGCCTTTGTGAATTCAATGAGAATTCGTCCTTTTTCAGGTTCAAAGGAACAATTCCAAGCTTCATTATCAATCTTGATTTGCCACCAAGAGAGAGATGGGTCCAAGTGATCCGTTCCAGAAAAGCAGAGGTAAGAAACTTAGTGGGGATTTTCAGCTTTTCCTCCAGTTGCAAAACAGAGGGGTATATGTTTAAAGAAAGGGCTGTGCTAGCATAATTGAAACACTTAGTGACAAAGGCTTCATCCTTGCCATGACAAAGAAGTGGGGATGGGGAATTCAAATTCCTGACTAGGGAAAAATTCCTGACTAGGGAAAAATTATTAAACTGGGTTTCTCCTACGTCCATCTACTTGGTTAATGGAGATACAGGATGAGATGATTAGAAAGCTTTGAATGGGTTTCCTGCTATGGTGCTAACCAGATGGCCATGCTGGCTGGGGATTGTGGGCCCTCTAGTCCAATACACCTGGAAGGAACTTATTGGGGAAGGCTGGCTTAGGAGAAAACATCCAAGAATATGTCTCTAATTACATTTCAAACCAAACTTGCTTTCAAGTAAATAAGCTTTAAGATTGTGACCTTAGGCTGCAGATTAATTTTCTGCCATGTTTTTTGCTGGGGGCTTATGGGATTTAGGCATACATTTTATGTTGTATAATGATAAAGAAGACAGGCCCCTTCCTCTCTTTCCATCTGGCCCTCTTCTAGTTTGTAGGAATGGCCAAGACTCTGAAAGAGGCCTTATCTGAGGAAGACCTTTCAGAAGGAGGTCCAGTGCAGTGTAGTGGTTTAGAGCGTGAGACAAGGACTAAGGAGACCTGGGTTTGTAGACCCCACTCAGCTCACTGGGTGACTTTGGGCCAATCTCAGGCTCTCAGTTTCACCTACCTCATGGGGTTACCATTGTGAGCATAAGGTTGAGAGGAGGAAGAGGGGAATTATGTAAGCTGCCATGAGTTCCTTGAAAGAAAACAGACAGGATATAAATTAAAAAATGAAGAGAAGAAAGGGAAAGAGGCCTAGCTAGAATGTATACCAAGAAGCCAATGGGACAAAGCATTCAAAAAATTAGGGTGCCTTCCACATTGCAGACCACCACTACAGTATCACTGCTACCCGCCAAGGCTAGGTCACACCATTTAAGGTGACAGTGGAGAGTGTAAAAAGAAAAGTTAAAAACACACAAACATTGGTTTGTACCTGTCAAAATTAGTATTTTACACGAACCTTCATTTTCCTGCATATATGAAATGGTTCTGTCTTTCTGCTTAAGTCTTTTTTTTTTCATTTCATTCCTCTGAAGTGTATTAATCTGTGATTCTAGCTGATATCCATGCTTCAGAGTATGAAAGACTTAGCGAAAGCATTCATCCATAGTGGGAAAGTCCTGGCAGCAGTGGAAGCTAAATTGGTGAGTCTCATCTAGTTTGCTGAACTGCCATCCGAGCGTTGCCTTCTATTAACTGCTAATGAACCAGAACTCCAGGCAAGTGGACATACAAGTTACATGCATTGCTTTCCATGAATTGAGGCAAATGTGTTATAGGCACCAGTGTGGCTTTGTTGTTAGAACGTTGGACTGGGACTGGGAAGGCCTGGCTTCTAGTCTCCACCAGGGCAAGAAGATCACTGGGTGACAGGGTTGTTGTGAGGATAAAAGGAGGAGGGGGAGGATCGTGTACACTAATTTGAAGTCCTCAAAGGAAAAGTGGGATAGAAATGTAACAAATTAATAAACAATCCAGTGCTTTAGTGTCCAACAACATTTTGAAAGCCAATGCAGCATTTCTAAATCTGGAAAGAGAAGAAAATGGAAGAAATATCATGAAGTACACATCAACGGTCAGCTGGCCATTGTCTGGAACTTAGAAAGCTACTGACACAGACCAGGGTCTGTCTAATTTAGTGTTATCTATCCCAGTGGCACAGAAATATTTTCTGAAGCAAAAGGAACTTACCCACCTTGGGAAGAGCAAAAGCTTAGAATGCAGTTTCTCAAGATCGTGTGGTTCCTAGAACACTTCTCCCTTTTCCCTTTTTTCCTGGGGGTCTGGATGGTGCCAAAAAAGTTTGAGGGGGGCACACATTTTCCAAGGCAGTGTAAGAATATAAGAACATAACATGCTAGATCAGACCAAAAGCTTACCAGGTCCAGCATTCTGTTCATGCAGTCGCCAGCCAGCTGCCTCTGATGGTTTGTTGTTTAGATTTCTCAACCATCTAACTGGCAAATGTTCCTGGAGTGGTTTGCAAACATTAAAAGCAATAACAACCCCTCAGTAAAATAATAAAATAAGAAAGGAAACAGTAAAATCAGTCATACAGTACTAAATATTAAAAAGTTAAATAGCAGTAAAATGAATAATCGAAAGGTTAAAGTTCAAATGCTTACTGGAAAATATCTTAAGCTGGCATCTGAAAATATACCAAGAAAGTGCCAGGCAGATCTCCCTGGGAAGGGCATTCCACAGATGGGGGCCACTGCAGAGAAGGCTCTTTCCTGGGTAGCCATCTGTTGCATTATTTGGAGTGGTCTTTAATTGACTAGTTAAATTGAAAAATGAGGATACAACATTCAGTTTGGCACACTGCATCACATTTGGCTTCTTGGGAATAGTTTTTGATAAGCAACTTATTTGTGCAAAGCATTTGAATGTCTCTTTCGTCTTGTTCACAGAATCTCAGAACTTCTACAAACACATCAGAAGGCTACTTCACACATAGCATGCTGAATGCTTTTATGTATACACTTAAATTTATTGTGCAAATGCAGGAAATGTGTGTTTTACATGTGCAGCTATGGCTATACCTCCTTTTGGCAAAACATTAGGGTCTCTGTGCATTGTGTGAAATGGCTATAAGTCTCTTGTAAGTTGCCTTGCTTACACTCAGTGAAATAATTAATGCTAAAAAGAAATTATATGGGAGAATCTCAGAAGGCCAAGATACTGTATTTTCAGATTTTAATTATTTTATGTTTTCTTTCTAGAATTGGTTAGGGAATACCCTTCCCTATCCTTTCGATGAAGAGATCAAAGGCATTGCTTCTACTCTAGAGTATTCTTTAGGTAATGTCTGGCTTTTAAATTAAACAATATGCATGTTAAGGCATGGTGGGCTACAACTGAATATTTACCTAATCTAGCAAAATGTGCTGAGGTTCCGTTACGTACATAGTATAGCTGCAGTGCCCAAGAGTTCTCAATACGCATGGTAGAAATTGTTCTTGAAGACCGCATCTCAGGTCAAATGTGAAACTTGTAACTTTCCCTGGTGCAGGGATAGGCACAGACCTTGTGGCTCCCCTTCCCATGCAGGGAACCTAATGTTTGAGACAGGGTGTATCCCTTAATCCTATAATCCCTTCCTTGGATTAAAAATGTAAAGCTACTACATTATTCACTTCCAGGATTACATAATTTGAGAAGACAGCCCAGCTTCATTACAGAATTAATTTAAAAAGAAACAATATGAGCAACTCAAATATCCTCCTTCCGGGCTGCTAGATAGTATCTGAGAGAGCTTCTGATGTTTTCTGGAAGCACGTGCATGTGGTGGGGAGAATGATGGAAAACGATGCCTTCTGGTAGCCTCAGAAGCTGCCGGTCACTGTGTGTCATCTTGAGGTCTGCATCCTGGAGTGACCTGAATTGAGCATAGCGACTGACAAGTGATATCTTTGTATTGCCCTAGTGTCTCATAGTTCTCATCAGTGCTTTTTCTCTTTGCTCCATTGACAATTCATTTTGATGAGAGTTCTCCATTCTGCCCCTACCCCACCCCCGGTGCATCCTGCAATTTAGGTGATGTTGTCGCATTCAATATCTTCTATGAAGTCTTCACAGTGTGCACCTCGATAATAGCAGAAAACACCAATGGTAAGCCACTGTAAGCCAAACACTAGCCACTGTAGTGTGCTTTGGTGATGATGATCATTTTTTTCCCTTTGAGAAACTCAATTCCATTCTTCCTCTTTTGATCAGGAACGCTGTTTCATGCCAGAAATCTTGATTTTGGGCTGTTTCTTGGGTATGTACTGAAATAGCATCATTTTTCCCTTCAATCATTTTCTTATCCTAATTTTCCTCATGGGGCACTTCACTGGCATTAAGGAATCCACACTTGAACAAAGGGAGATTCTGGTGTGAAACTACCGAATGGCAGTTTAATTCACCTGAGTTGCCTGTGATTTGAATGAAGATAGAAACCCTTTTTATCCTAGTCCACCAGTCCACTTGCATGCACTAGATCTGGATCCAACCCTTTTTGTTAATGTTTCCCTCCAACTTCTGTACTAATGCCTTTTTATCTTTTTCTACACCCACCTGTGTACGTATATCTGCCAATTTCAGGGAAGCATCTGTGCATCAGACAAAGTGGACCAAGTTCCACAAAGTTCATACCATAATGCATCCGCTGCCAAGGTCCCATGAGGCTCTGTGTGGATAAAGGGGGCGACACTTGTGCAGTTTTAAACTCCTTGGAGGAAGGGCGAGGTGAAAATGGAATGGAGGACTAAGAAATGCCTTGCAACCAATGAACCAGGACCCCCTCCATGACTGACTGCCATGCTCTTTCAGAAGCAGAATCCAGCATTTTTTATGCAAAATGACTGTTAATTCTCTTTTTTCTTGCAAGAGATTGTTTTCATTTTTAATTGCGGAGTACACAGCCTAAATGTTAGCCTTTCATGCATAAAGCTGGAAAAGCTCAAACATGAGGAAGCACACCCGTTCATTGTTGCTCTAAAGCAGCTGTGCCTTGCAGTTCACATTAAATACACAAATGTGTGCTGCTTTTCGCTCCCCACAGGTGGGATGTACAAAATAGTTCCTGGGATGTAACGCAGAAACTGAAACCATTGATGGTGTCGCTGGATTTTCAGAGGAACAACAAAACAGTGTTTAAGTCTTCCAGTATTGCAGGTTATGTGGGAATGATAACTGGAATGAAACCAGTAAGTAGATTTTGGTTTGGGCAGCCTTAGGCTTATTCTGTTATCACTGCAAAGCATAGCTTTATATTCTAGGTATAAACTGGCACAAGATCAGACTCACTGTGCTTCTGGGAAGGAGAAGAGTAGAAGCTTCCAGTCCTGGTTAACGACAACCCAGAACTTGACGCTGCATCTGAATTTGAGAAACTAGGGCTTGCTAAAACCATAGTTTGCCTGAAAACCAGGACAATTTATCCTTGCCTTTGCCAGCTTGTTCATAAGCAACAGTCATTATAACAGATGCACCTGTCTTGCCTTTGTAACAGATGTGAAACGCAACCTTCCCTTCATGAAGCACAGGAGAGTAGCCCTGTTAAGAGAGTTGTGGCAAAAGCTAGAGAGCCTTACACCATCTTGAAAATGACCTGAACTAGAGTCCATTTGGTCACTTGGCACATATACCTACAATATTATATAGTCATTTGAGAACATTGCTGTGCTCCTTCCTGCCTCTGGGCGTGCCGTGGAGCCTCAGCAAACCAATGTCCTATCCCATGGGCTCTGTGCTGGAAAGCTGGTCTCTCAAAGGCATAAGCTTCATGCTCTAAGCTTTGACAGGTGTAAAAAATACCTCATCTTCAGACTTTTCCAGTGAAAAGTGCAGCCTGCAGTTAATGTTGCTCAAGTAGAAGCAGCTTAAAACATTTTGGAGGGACACATTTGATTGGAAATCTGAGCAAAAAAAGTATAAAAGGAAACCCTAATTTTGACCCCCCCCCCCCCGCCCAGTATTTGATGTATCTTGGTCCACAGACCAAATCTCAGACTTGGATCTAATAAGCTAAATTAGCCCTATGTGTAGGCCATGAGCCCAAACAACTTTCTGTCTCTCTCTGCCTATTCTCGATTCTCGCATGCACCCCGCACAGTGTGTATAGCCGGTTGGGCCCGTAGTACAACAAGTGTTAGTAGTTCTGTCATCTGTGTTGTGTTGCTCCATATCAGAAACTATGTAAGTTATGACAAAATCGGCTTCATTTAAGTGCAGTTCAATGCACCTCTCCCTCAATGCATATAAACCTCCAAACTTGAAAGTGTATGTGCATCCTGTGCTTGGAATGCAGCACACAATATCTTATCTAGATGGCCACTTTTTGGAAAGGAGGCTTCAGTGCTAATAAGTGATGTAAGTCTCCATCTATCGCCTCTTTTCCTCCACTTCCCTCAGCATGTCCCCTTCCCCACCCCAAGCCCAGTGCAGACATTGGGGTGGAGAGGAGGCAGTGTGGGGCAGGGCACATACTTTGGAGCCTCAGCTTTGAGGGTACAGAATTTTGGAGCTGGGACTCCAAATAATCTTATGGCCTCCCAGATGATGTTTGCACCCCTAATCTCTCTTTCCTGGCTATCAAATATCAATTTGTTCAGCTTTAGTAGCACTACGTTGACCTGATTTCATGTTTTAGGGCATTTTTACACTAACCCTGAATGAGCGATTCAGTCTTGATGGAGGATACATTGGTGAGTAGGCATAACACTCTGTTCTTGTGTGCATACATTTAAAAGAACCAATGTGAATGTATCATTTTATTAGCAGGATAGTTTGATTTAAATTAGCAGGGTAATTCTGCATGGAAAAATGTCACTAAATTACTGATATAAAGTTTCTCATCGGTATTTTTTCATTTCGTCATTATTAAATTTCTTGGTTGACTTTCTCCAAGACTCAAAAGAGACTTGCTGCAAAAAATAAAACAGCGCCTATGATAGTTTGAGCAGTCTTTTCAGATGTAATGTCTCTTCAGTTCAGTGGGGCTTTCTTACAGGTGAGTTGGTAGGATTGGAGCCTAAGTTCAGAATTCAGGAAAATGCAAAGCAGATGTGTGTGCCTTTTCTTTCCAGTGCTGCTGCTTTCTGCTTCACTCAGAGCTGGCAGAGGTGGTATTGGCTATGAAGTTGCGGTCCACCAGGCTGCTGATCCTGGAGGATATTAACCTCCATAACTGAGGGTACCTACCTGGGGGCTCAGGTTTTCATGGACTCTGTGACAATTATGGAACTGTTCCAACATGTCATTGGCCCAACACATGTAGCAAGGCACTCTCTAGATTTTGTTTCAGCTGGGCATGGGAAAGCTGACCTGAAGCTGGAGGACTTTGAATCAGTCCCCTTGTCATGGTCAGATAATTTCCTGATGAGATTTAGACCAACAGCAACTTTCCCAATCTTCAGACTTTGCTTGCATGGGTGAGGGACCCACTAACATGGTCTGCTGGCAAGACTGATGGATCTGAATGGGTCCCAGATGGATCTGGGGGATTTTCCGGCTGATATGGCTGGTGGTCCTATGGAATGCCTGGTTGATCTGTGGAACATAGAGATGACCAGGTGGTTGACATTACCACTCCTTAAGTGCCCTCCCTGCAGTAGAGCTCAAATCTCCCAGAGCTGAGAGTAATGAAACAAAATAGGAGATGGCTTGAGTGCAGGTGGAGGAAAACTCCTAGTGGTGACAGTTGAGTCCTGGTATGTGCCTATAGACAAATATATTTGGCAACAGCCAGAGCAGCAGAGAAGCAATACCTCCTCCCTTCATTCAGTCTTCTTTCTGCTGCCCAGAGGAGGCCTCTAGGGTTGTCCAGGGCATACCACATCCTGGAGTATATTTGCTAGGTACTTCTGGGGAAAAATCTCTTACATCTCCTGGGACCTGAACTCTAGTGTTACTGCAGTGGATCAGGAAAGATATCCAGAGCACAATCTAGTCTGCTTGTTTTGGATGAGTTCCAGCTAATATAGCTTGAAGGTGTTGGCAAGTTTATGTAACCATGTCCATATTGAATCCTTGCCCCCTTGGCTAATAAAAACAGCAGGTAAGGAATGGAACAGGCAGTGCTGAGTCCCCTCCTGAGTAAATCCTCTTGGCACCCAGAAGATTTCAATAATTTAGGCAAATGTCCTCTTCCTGGGTTGGGTTCTTGAGTGCGTGGTGACCAACCGGCTCCAGGCACTCTTGGATGAGACGGATTATTTGGATCCAGTCAGTCTGGGTGCCAAAACAGCTTTGGTCACCTTGTATGATGATCTATGCTGGGAGAAAGATGGAAGAGTGTAACCCTATCGGTATCCCATGGTATCCTTCTGGGGCAACTGTTGAGTTGGGAGTGAGGTGCATGGCGTCACAGTGGTTCCACTCCTACATGGACAGCCAGTTTCAGAAGACGATGTTGCTCTGTCCCTTGGACTCTTCTCGGGGTTTCTCAGGAGTTAGTCTTGTTCCCTATCCTGATTAACATCTACGTGAAACTACTGAGTGGAGTACCCAGATCTTTGAAGTGCATTGTCATCAGTGTGCTGATGATGCACAGCTGTATTTCTTCTTTTCCTCTTCAGCGAATGAGACTGTAGATGGGCAGTGACAGTGAACTAGTTGAGGGCTGGCAAACTGAAGCTCAATCCAGACAAGACTGAGATGCTGTTAGTGGGCAGTTCTTCTCACCAGATGGGGGAATTCAACCTGTTCTACATGGGATTGAGCTGTGCTTGTAGGAGCTGGCTCATAGCATGGGGGTGCTCCTTGTCACTTGAGATGCTCACAGTTTCAATGGCACAGAGCACCTTCTACCAGTTTTGGCTGGCATCCACACCTGTGCACCTCTTGAGACAGAGCTAGCCTGGCTTCAGTAAGCTATGCTTTGGTAATCTCTGAGATAGATTACTGCAAGGCACTCTGTGTGGGCTGCCCTTGAAGATTGTTCAGAAGCTGCAAATCACAGCAGTAAGATTAATAATGGACAGTCAGAACACATAATACAAACTCTGACCTGCTTTCATTTGGCTGCCTCTATGCTTCTGGGTCTACTTCAAGGTGCTGGTTTTAATCTAGAAAGCCCTACATCGCTTGGGACGATGCCTGATGGGAGGCCTCTACTAACCACAATCTACTCGAAGTGATCACAGTCCGGGGCCTGTTTCCAACTGCCACCTCTAAGGGAAGCTTGGTTAGTGGCAACAAGAAGAGCCTTTTAAGTGGTGGCCCACCAGTTAAGGAACTTGCCCTCCACTCAGGTTTCTTTGGCCCCAACTTTAATATCTTTTTAGTGCTGGGCAAAGACTGTCCTCTACCGCAGAGCATTCCATTTGTTACTATTACACTGGGGTTTTGTTAGATGCTTAAACAATGACCATATAATTTGCATAAGCTATTGTAGCTTTTTCACATTTGTTTTAAATTTGGTTTTAAATGCATGAATGATATTTATGGCTGCTGGTATTTTATATTGCATTTTATGTGTTGTAAACCACCCAGAGAACTTTGGCTGTTGGGTGGTATAGAAATATCATAAAAATAAATACAGTGGTACCTTGGCTCACAAACTTAATCCATTCCAGGTCTCTGGTTGTGACCCAAATTGCTCGTGAGCCAAGTTAAATTTCCCCATAAGGGTCAGTGTAAATAAGGTTAATCCGTTCTGTAACCATTTTTTAAATCAGAAAAATGTGAAGCAAAGTGACAACAAAGATTGTGGCCATCTCCCCCCACCCCACCCCGAGCACAAGTGCGGCCATCTCCCCGCCCCCCCAGCACGACCAAGATCGTGCCTGTCATCCCTGCAGGCGCCCGTCATCCCAGTGCTCTGGGGTGTGAGGGGGGAGAGATGGGCGAGAACGCGGGCGCACTGAAGGAGGAAGAGACGGGTGCAATCAGCATGCTGGGAGAGGGAGAGATGGGCACGATCGCAGCCATCTCCCCACTCAGGGGTGGGATGGGGAGATGGCCACAATCATGCTGGTTGGGGGTGGAAATGGCCGAGATCGCGCCCGTCTTTCCTGCAGGAGCACGCCTCTGATCACACGCCTTCCCTGCATGAACGGAACTGCACGAACTCGGGGGGGTTGGGTGAGATGGCTGCGAACTTGGTCGCCACCCAATGCAGAGTTCAGGACTCACGTCAAAATTTTTATGACATTTTTGTTCATGACCCGATTTGTTTGTGAACCAAGGCATTCGTGAGCTGAGGTACCACTGTACAACATGATCACAATGTGACATGGCCCAGTAGGACAACATACTCAAACCTTGACCTAGAAGTTACTCCCATTGAAACTCATCCACCCAGGCAAACAAAATCTGGGCTGCAGTATGAGATGCTAACAGTGTGATTCTATGAAAGTCCCACTGAGTTCAGTGAGACATGTTCCCAGCTAAGCATGTATAGAATCATAGCCTTGGACACTGATAAGGCTATGTGGTATTGACACTCTTTGATGTGCATTTCTCGCAGGAGTCTTTGAGTGGGTGATTGGCCAGAGAGATGGTTGGTGGATGAGTTTTCTCACTAGATCTGTGCTGGAAAATAACACAAGGTAACACTTAACTTCTGAAGTATTTTATCCACCACTATGTCTAGTGATGTAATTATTTTGATCATGTCCTATTTTTGTGGTGCTCCTTGTCTTTTAGTGTAAAGTTCTTGCTTATCTTAGGGTCTTGGCAGCCGTCTTTGTTCCAGTGAAGGAAACACAGAGGGAACTTTAAAGCTTCAATTTGATATTTTTATTCCTTTCTGTTAATATGTGAAGTGAAAAAATCCATGTACTTTGACACAGCATGGCTAGTTTGACCCATGCAGTTTGGCATGTTAGGCACTTTTATGTTGATCTGCACAGTGCTTTCTGGTAGAGTCACGCAGTTCATGTATGATCTGAACTGACAAAAACTAATACCTCTGGCTTGGGGAACCTGTGGGTTCAGGGAAGTAGCAAATATGATCACTCCCCATAGAGAGAAGGAAAAATTCTCTCTCTCATCACCTGCTGTAGATACAGATCTTCCTGGGTTTGCCATTCGGCAGCCTCAGTGGAGGAAGGATTGGCAGCAGTGGCACCTTTTTACCTCGAGCACAAGCTCTGGTGTCAATGCAGGGTCACAACATGAGGAGCTACCATTGTCTGCATCTGCTGTGCTTTCTTGCCAGATCTCAAAAGATTTCCATCCTTTCCGACAGTGCTACCAGTGTCTCTTGGCTTCTTGTCTATATTTTTTGGGAGCAGTGGAATGAATTTCCACTCTGTTCTTTTTTGTGTCTTGCCCCAGAGGGACCCTTCCCTATTCCCTCTTGCATGCTACCTCCACAGGACATTTCCAGACCAGTTAGAGGTGGCCATGCATGGAGTTTCTTGGAGGGTGTCAGTCTCTCTGTTATATCCAGTTATTGCATCCATCTTATTTTTTTCCTGATACTTTTAGTTACGAAGCTGCAAAGGACAGACTGGCCAATACAAAATTACTGGCCCCGGCCTATTTCATATTAGGCGGAAATAAATCTGAAGAAGGGTGTATTATTACCCGTTCTCGAGCTGCTGCCTTAGACATTTGGAAGTAAGTATGCTTGATAATGAAGCTACTTAAGTAATCACATCTATTACCTGTGATTTTATCTTATTTATTAATTTATTTACATGTATTTATAGGCTGAGCCTATAATTGCTGAGGCCTTGCTAGGTGATGAGATTTGCTAAACATGATTGAATAGCTTTGTGTGGGTTGCTTAGGTGCACTCCTTTTTTATAGCTGACATTAGTTTTACTTTGTTGAGAGGCAAGGGAAACACTATTTAAAATGACTTCTGATTTTTTCCAAAAGATGCCGCATTTATGACATTAGATATGTTTGGGGCATACTGTTTATGAGAAATAAAAGACATCATGCTGCATCATGGATAGAAAATAGATGTTCATCATTCTTCTTATTTCAAGCTTGAACTTAAAGAAAGGTATCTGGTATGTTGTGGAGACCAATTATGATCACTGGAAGGACCCGTTTATTCTGGATGACCGAAGACACCCTGCGATGCGCTGCTTGAATCAAACGAAGCAAGAGGTAACTCTGTGAAGGGTGATGTGCAATGCAGGGGGACAGACCCTCAGGCCCAGAGAACACGTCTGACCCCTTGATGATCTTGGTCTGGCTGCCCGGGGTTCCCTAGAAGACCATGCTTCCTTCCCCTGGCTCTACCCTCTTCCCCACCCTCTGATTGTTTGGTGGTTTCCTGGCTTCCTCCACTCTTAAATGCCTCTTGTAAGGCTTAGCTACTGGCAGGAAGACAAATATTGGTTGTTTGGTTACTTTTGGCCTTGCCCTTTTCACCTTCATCCCCACCTAAATAGACTATAGTACCTGAGAGCTTCTCCAGAATGGGATTTGGATCACAGCCTGCAAGAGAGCCTGCACCATGACATTACCTAGTCAGCAGTAAAACATGCTTGCTACATTGCTGTGGCAGCTGTATCGGTGTGATACTGAAGGTAGCTGGCTGAATTTCACTTTGGGGAAAGCCTGTGTTAAGTTCTGGGAAGCCTGAGAGAAGGGGCAGGTCTTGAGAAAAGATCTGCATGCCAGAACTGGTTGATGATTAGCCAACATAGTGGCTATCAGCTGTGAGGAATAACAGTGGCAATGGTAAGGCAGAATATCTGTAGTGCCAGAACTTGCCCATTCCTGTTGTATTCAGTTTCAGTGATGTTAACAGAGATTAGATTTTGTTGTTCTGCCATACAGCTGCTGTAAGGCTGGTATAGAAATTGTTTATGCAGATTTGTTTCAGATCCAGCCTTCAAACATGTCCAATCTGTTCTTTTTCTCCCTCCCAGCAAATGACGGTATCAGCCATGTACAACGTTCTCTCCACAAAGCCCATCCTCAACAAGGTAAACCTTTTCTCCCTCTCTTTGCCTAGCATCTCTTAACTGGACCTCATACAACCTGGTAAAATGGACTTCAGTTGCCCCAGGTGCTTTTTGTGGCAATCCTTTTTTAATTGCAAATGTTAATCAGAGAGGAGTGTTTTTATCCTGCTTAACATGTGGAGATGGAGTGATCGGTGGAAGGTGTTAGGAAATAGGAGATCTAAATCCAGGCGATTCATCTTTCTACTTGAAAGCTGTGAGATTGCAAAGGTAGAACAGCTTTTCTAGCTCCTCTTGATCTTTCATTCATCATGAAAGTGAGGAGGTGCAAGGTTAGTTCATACATTCAGCTGTATAGGGGTGCACAACCTCTGTCCTAGCAGCTAAATCCAGCCTGCCCAGGACCATCCCTCAGATGGCCACAAACCTTTTCACTGATAGCCATTGTTCGGTGGATTCTCGGCCATCTTAAAAAATACCTAGCCTAAGATTTAGTCACTGGCAGGAAAGAGCGTTAAACTAAAATATCTAGAATTTTGGTGTTGTCATTTTGCCTTCAGTCCAGGCTACTGCTTGAATTCAGAGCTTTTTGAGCTTCTCAAAAATGGCACTTGCCTGTTAGGTTGAAAAAATGGTTTAATATGCTGGTACTGTATGCTACTATGCTCCTCCTGTACCATTTTTGGGCTGGAGGTAGAAGATGACTGTTAATTGTGCTGTGTGAGGCATTTCTCTCCAGGGAGAACACTGGCAAGTCAGAGGAAATGCTACGCCCTTCTCAATGCCATGATGGCCTTTTATGTGGGAGGAGTTTTCTCTTTGGGGGGCTGTATTCAGACAAAAAAGGGACCGCAGGTGGCGCAGTGGTTTAAACCGCTGTGCTTCTGGGCTGGTAGATCAAAAGGTCACCGGTTCAAATCTGCACAATGGGGTGAGTTCCCATTGCTCTGTCCCAGCTCCTGCCAACCTTGCAGTTCGAAAGCATACAAACACAAGTAGATGAAAAGGTACCACTTCAGTGAGCAGGTAACAGTGTTCCGTGCACTTCGGTGTTTAGTCATGCTGGCCACATGACCACGGAGACCATCTGCGGACAAACTCTGGCTCCCTCAGCTAGGAAACGGAGATGAGCGCCGCCCCCTAGAGTCAGGCATGACTGGACTCCCATGTTTCCTCACCATGGTCTTCGTGAGCCAGGGCTGATGGGAGCCGTAGACCAAAATACTTGGAGGGGCACAATTTGCCCAGCCCTGGTTTAAGGGGAGTATTATCCCTGGACCTCTCGAAATAAAAGCATTGCATTTAGTTTTACCTTTGGTTTGGGAAGGCATAACAGTCCATCGTAAGTCATCAGTGAGTTTTAGTTTCTTACGTAAAAGGCCATTTATTTTCATATTTCTTTACTCAGACTGTTTTTGTATCACACTCTCTGTGCTTCATTTAGTTGACTGTGTCCACTACACTAATGGAGGTTTCCAAAGCCCACATAGAGACTTACCTGAGGGATTGCCCTGATCCCTGCAGTCCCTGGTGAGGACTGTACTTGCCCGTGGAGAAAGTTCCGTGCATGGTGGATGATCAGTGGGAGGAATAAGACAGAAGCCGTGCTTGTGCCACGCATCTCTGTAGCCTGCAGTGCATCAGAAGATGAGCTCCTGGGCCTGGATGTGTCTTAACTGCTTGCAGACCAAACAATGGTTTGACCTTTCCCTCCTGGCAGGGCCTACTTTCCAATGCCTGCTTTTCGTGCCTGAGAGGAATCGGGCGTGCTTCTCCACATGCTCTCTCATATTTATCTTACTGCACAATCCTATGCACGTTTGCCTGGACACGAGTCCCATGCTGCTCAGTCAGCCTGGGCTCCAGGCCTGCGTGCCAGATCTGTCAATGCGGTCTTCCAAATGAAAAGCCCTCAGCCTGCTGCACTAACTCACAGTTGCCTCAGTGACCCTGCCCTTGTCCTGGCCTGAACAGTGGCTCAGTTCCTTCTCCTTTCTGTTTACACCTCAGACAAGCTAGTGCTTCAGGAAGGTACAGCCTGGTCTGGGAAGGGAGTAGGAGGTGTGGAGGAAGAAAAAAAAAGATGGAGTGGATGATTTTAGGGAAATGGGGGATGTTTTTCCTCATTTTTTCCCTCCTTAAGGCTTTGTGTCCCTGGAGAGGAACAGCGTGGCTCTCCTCTGTCCAGAGAAGTTGCCACAGCACGAACCAAACTGTTGGTTGTTGTGCTTTTCTTGTTTTGCTTTGAGGCCTGGGAGAACCCCTTAAGTTGCCAACTTTAAAGCTTTCTACTGTATCTCCTGCCCTTTCTGAGAGAGAGGCGTGGTGATGGGGTTGGCAGGAGAACGGTGGAGCTGAATGAGAGGGAAGGACCAGTAAGCCTGCTCTGCTCCTCGGTTACAGCAAAGTACCTTCCAATATAAGCACACAAGTTTTTAAGGGTACAACTGTGGATGTGCTTAGAGAGAAAATTATAGTTTCTTAGAGTTAAACTCTTAGAGTTTCAGAATTCCCAACATGCCCCATCCCATACATCAAAACATGCATAGGATTGTGTTTACGTTCCTTATTCAGATCATGGCTGCCTAATGTGGCACAGGAGTGGCATAAACGGTTGTGACTTCTGGCATTTCTGGCTGTAGCATAATTAAGCCACCTTATTCTCTCCCCTCCCCACCCCATTGTTTCTTGTTCCCTAGAGGGGAAACCATGCCAGTTGGCTGCTATAACTGTGTCGTGCATTAAAGTAGTCCTATCTCCTCCTCTGGATTTTTCTTCTGTGGTACACTTACTTAAATGTGGGGAGCATTTCCTCAGAAAGAAAATAGCTATTTTTCCTCTTGGTCACTAATTGGAGCTGTAAATTTATTGAATGCTGCAAGCTGGTATTAAGAGTGTCCTTTTAACATATTGTTGATCACAAATAAAAATGGGAAAATGGTCTGTCTGGTGCTATCTAACTTCCTGGAGAATGTCAGTGCTTGTTGCAATGCAAGGATTCGATAAACAGGGACTCAGAAGATAATGATCACCATAGTCAAGCCAGGAATGGCCAGGAAGGTCTTGGGTAGAATCTTAAGATCTGATCAGAATCTGTCTTCCATGTGGAACACAAACACTCTTAGGAATTTTCAGATCAGCATTTTTACTCCAAAAACAAAAACCACCCTAACAGGATATGACTGAGTCCAAACCTGCTTTCCCAACCCGGCATCTTCTAAATATGTTGAACTACAATTCCCACCATCTTCCAGCCAGCATAGTGAAGGGACAGAAATGCAAGAACAGGTAGTCCAAAACATCTGGAAGACAGTAGGTTGGGAAAGGCTGACATAACACATCATTTACTTTTTCCCCCTCGTTCATCATTTTTTTCTCTTATGTTCATGCCAACTATAAATGGAATCTTAGAACCATAAAATAGTAGAGTTAGAATAGTTGAAGAATGCTATCATATCTTCACTCAGTCTTCTCAAGGCAATTCTTGCCCAGTGCACACCCAAACATTCTTACCCGTGGCAACTCTTGCAGTTGCTAGGCCTGGTAACCTATCTAAAAAAGGAGCCAGGCCATGCTGGGAGACTTTCAGTTTCTTCCAGGAAGGAAGGATTCCAAACAGGTTGACTTTGGTATATGCTATTACTTCAAGCAGCTAATCTTCCCTATTTCTCAACTGGTATTTTTAACTGAGGATCAAATGCGGTCTTGTGCATCTTTATTCGGAAGTTAATCCCACCAAATGCTTTTTTCCAAGTAGGTACTGATAGTGCTGCAGCCTCAGTTAACCAGGACTGGGTAGAAAATGTAGCTGCGTGTAGTCTTCATACCAAATAAGCCGGTGTATCTGAGCAGCCTGAGCCCTCCCCGATAACCATTTTTTCATGTTTTGTCAGCCTTTGTGTTGACTAGAAACCTGCCTCTGCCCAAGCAAAGTTTCCTTGGTAGTCAGATTCCACAGGTTTAAAGTAGGATCAATTAAACCCATCTGTTTGGCATAGTATACCACTATTGCAACTACCCAACTCCAAGAGTGAGATTTTGTTTATGACCTCCTTTTTCTATTCCATCTCATTAAAGAGCTTGTTTAAGCATCATAATCTAAATAAAGTATGAGCAAGAAGGCCATTTTTGAGACAGCAGTTTTTAAAAGGATTCCAACTATTTGCTATCATGTTTGTACATGCAACCTATTGCTGTGCACATTTGGGGAGTTACTCTGCGCTTAATAGCATTTACTCACACATAAGCCATCCCTTGCTGGTCCAAGCCCTTGTTCAATGAAGTTTCTGTGACGTGGGGCTCAGAACTGCAGACCAATGCATCCAGAGGGCACAACGCTGGGAAGGCTGCAGGATTTAAGTATAATTACACGTGTGCACACCTTTCCCAAGGGTGAGAAGGAAGGAGAATGGTTGTGGCAGTACCATGAATAGAAGAGAAATGTGCACACACTTCATGGCAGTGCAGAGAAGAAGCCTGTGCGTGTTCCACTTTGTGGTGTGGAAGTGGAGGACATTGACAGGGACACAAGAGGAGGCCTGCTAGATCAGACCAAAGGTCCATTTAGTCCAGCACTCCGTATGCATGGTGGTAAGCCAGCTGCCCACAGGATTCCTCAAGACCTCCACCTGCCCAAGCTCCTCAGCGACTGGCGTGTGCAGGTATGCCTCCTTTGGTGAAGGAGGTAGCATATAGCCCACGAGGTTAGTAGCCACTGATAGCCTCCACCTTAATGAATTCATCCAATCCCTTTTCAAAGCCGTCCAGATTGGTAGCCATCACCATTCCTGTGGCAGCGAATTCCATAGTTTGCACTGTGAAAAAATACTTCTTTCATCTGTCCTAAACCACCCACCAGTCAGCTTCATGGGATGACCCTGGATTCAAGTGTTACGGGAGAGGCAGAAAAATGTCTCCCTCTTTGCTTTCTCCACATCGTGCATTATTTTAAACACCTCCATCATGTCTTCCCTTACGTGCCTCCCAAGTCGAACAGTTCCAGTTGCAGCCACTTGTCCAGCCCCCTGATCATTTTTGTTGCCTTTTCCCTGTACTTTTTCTAACTCAGTGATGGCCTTTTTCAGGTGAAGTGACCAGACCAGAATGGAACATAATATTCCAAGGGTGGTCACACCAAAATTTGTCTAAGGGAAGTACAATTTTGGGAGTTGTATTTTCTGTTCCTTTCCTAATAATTTTGCCCGGCACAGAGTTTGCCTTCTTCACAGTCCCTGAGCAGGGGGCAGACATTTTCATCAAGCTGTCCACCACTGCCCCGAGACCCGTTTCTTGCTCAGTCACTGCTAGTTCAGATTCCCTCAGCATACCAGATGCCATTGTTTGCCCCAGCATTATGGGCATTACTCTATGCTTGCTTATATCGAACTGCATTTCCCATTTTGATGCCCATTCTCCCTTTGGAGCTCCTCATAATCCCCTTTGGTTTAAACTGCCCTAAAAGGTTTAGTGTCATAAGCAAACGGGCACTTCACTACCCAGTCGTAATTCCAGATCATGAATGAATAGGTTGAAAAGTGTTGGTCCTAATACAGAAGGTTGGCTAAATAGTGGAGAGGTGGTCTTTTGCATTTGTGTACAAGCTCAAGCATCAGCATCATCTTGCAAATGCCTTTCCCAAGGCTCCTAAGGGCTTGGGAAATTGTTTCCTTCCTGCAGTCAGAAACAGCAGTGGGAGCATTCTTGGTAGTTCCCCAGACTCGTTGCAGAAAGGCTGCTGAAGAAGGGAGCAGCAGGATGAAGGATGCAATGATCTCTGGGGATACGCGGGAGAAACCAGCTAGGGAAGTTGTCCAGTGGGGAATCCTGTAGTCTTCTCTGTGTGCTTTGTACACAGGCAGGCCTCCTTGCTAAATGGTACCTAGGCCATTGCAGGTGGTTTGTGCAGCAAAATTCATTTCCAGCCTCTCAGAGCACTTCCTAGAAAATCAATGTGTCTGAGGATGACTTTTGCTGGTGTACAATGAGAATATAAGTGGAAATACAACACAGAAAAAAAGATGGCAATCTTTCCTCTTTGGAAAAGAGTCCCGATTGCTCAAAGTCTCAAAAACTGCTTTCAATAATTATCATTTGCATTCGGTGGTGTTAAGCAAGCTTTGTTGGCTGCTTTCATCTTGGAACAAATACCTCCTTGAGAACACGTTTCAGGGTTTAACAGCCTCCACTACAGAGCAGCCTAGTGCCCCAGTTGGGTGTTTGTATTTAGCAACTGGGTCTGTAGCCATCCCAGGTATCTCAAGTGATGCGGTCATGTTGCTTTTGTTAGCAGGTGTCAAAACCTCCATTAGAAAAGCTCCTCTCAGACGCTTATAATTGGGATACAATAAACCCAAGAAATAAAGAGAAATGAATGCCAGTGTGTTTGTGTAGGAAGGAGGAATGGAGATTCCCAGGGAGAATGTGGAAAGTAACTTGAGTCTTTCGTGAGGTTATGGTTAATTCTTTACAGAAAATAGTTCTTTCAGCTGCTGCAACAGTTTTGAGCTACAAATGCTGAGGGAGGTAATTAGTCTTTTGGCACATGCTGGGAAGCCAGGGACAGTTCAGTTTATTAAACCTTGGACCATATATTGGACAACAGATGCTCTGGAGTGACAGGGGCAGCCTCCTCCTCCCAGCTGTTGGAGGCAGGTAGGAGACTATTACCTGTTCAGCATGAGGTGTCATCTAACCTCTGGCCAGTCCATGGTTTGATTGACATATGAAGAACAAAGGTGATCAGCCCAAAGATCCATCTGATTTAGCATTTGGTTTCCAACATAGCTCTAGAAGCTCCCAAACTAGGCTACAAGGTGATGGGGCATCGTCTCATTTCTGACACAATTGTCTGAACTTCAGGGAGATACTCCAAGATGGAGATGGTCTTTGGCAAGATCCTTAAGAGGGTTTTCACTGTTGTGCCTAAATAGGGGCCAGGAACATATGGCTCTCTGGTTGTTTTAGGGCTGCTATCAGCCCTAGCAAATATGGTCAGCAGTCAGGTGCAATGGGAGCTATAGTATAGCCACATCTGGAGGACCTCAGGTTTCTGACTCCCAGGTTAGAATGAAATACTTTACAAGAGTGCTGGCAGAAGAGGCACCGCGCACACGACATCTGCGCGCGCGGCAGCGGCAGAGGCAGCAAACGCCGCACCCCGGACTCCACCACCTGCCCTGACTGCCACCACGCCCGGCACGTGTGAGAGGCGTGGCCGGGCGCAGCGAACGTCGGAGGGAGGAAGCCCCGCGCCCTGAAAAGCGCCGGCGGCGGCCGGGGGAAGAGCGCCGGCAGAAGGGGCACCGCGCACACGACATCTGCACGCGCGGCAGAGGCAGCAAACGCCGCACCCCGGACTCCACCACCTGCCCTGACTGCCGCCACGCCCGGCACGTGTGAGAGGCGTGGCCGGGCGCAGCGAACGTCGGAGGGAGGAAGCCCCGCGCCCTGAAAAGCGCCGGCAGCGGCCGGGGCCGGCGGCCGAAGGGTATCGGCCAAAGGGCGGGGTCGCCGCCGTTTGGGCGCCGAGTGGGGGGGGGCTGGGCTGGCCAGGGGGCTTTGTTTGCCTGC